TTGTAGTTCTCTGTTTTTAGCTTATCACTAAAGTTTCACATTGTTTTGAAGTTCTTTAAAATTTGAGTTTTTTTTTTTTTTTTTTTTTTTTGCAGTTAAAAATTGAAAAAGCACCATAGACTCAAAAAACTCTACTTTTATTTAGAAGTATTGTATAAAAGCTAGAATACATAGATTAGTTTTAGCTGTAACTAGAAGATATAAGACTCATATATTACTGGAAAAAAAATTAAAACCCTATTCATCCTTCAGATGATATCAAATCAACATCCTTTATTCTTTCATGCATTGCATGTTTTGAAAATTATTGCAGACTATGAATGTGTTATTTTATTTTCAATTATTTTTTATTGGTCTAACAAAGTGGTATGTTATGGTTCATTTATGAGGTGTATATTTTTGAAAGTGAGGCTATGGACGAAGACGCATTTTGCATAAGAAAAATTAAAATTTTAAAAATAGAAACTCTTTCCAGGTACATGCTACAAGTTAAAGTGACAGATTGCACCGGTATAATTTCTTTACTAATATGGGATCGGGATGTAACAAAGATTATCGGAAAATCGGCAAATGATTTAAAGGATGTCACACCCCCTTTTACCCCCAAAAGATACGTGTTATGAGTTGTGGGTTGAAGAATTTTTCCAATTAAAGTAACAAAACTTGAGTAGGGATTATTTTATTGTTCAGAGTCGCCACATGGAATTGATTTTTGGGTGTTCCAAGTCACCTTTTGTTTGAATACCTAGTCAAAGGAAAGTTTGATATTATTATTGGTCTGCGAAAATAAAGTCTGGGCAATGAATTCTGTTGATCGGGGAGAAGGTGTAAGGCATTGCCCGAGTCTTGTGATTCTAGCACAATTGCTTTTATTGACTAAAATTGTCTTGAATTCATTTTTTGATAAACCGTACTTTATTTGATTTTCATGTTTGCCCATATCCATTTTTATTGTTGATGACTTATTAATCTCAAACTAGGACGAGTATCCTCGACCCTAGCTTACACTAACCAAGACGAGTATCCCCAACCTTAGTTCGTGCGTCGTACCCAAAATTGGAGTCTACTCGAAGTTAATTAAATAACAAACTTTTATTTACTTGAAAGAATTGGAACAAGACGTCCTCACGACCTTGCCATTTATTTATGTCTTTATTCCGAAGTGAGCCTTCCCGATATCGGTTAAGACGAAATTATTTACCTCAGTTAAGACAAATTACTATAGGGTTTAGATTATGGAAAAATAATTGTTCATTTTTATTGTGAAAAGAAAATGCCTCTTTATAAGTTAATAGTGGTAGGACAACATATGAATATTATTGATATTGAACTTTTATTTATCGCCTTTATTTTTACTAAATTATTAAACCCAGACCAATTGATTAACTGCCATGAAACGTTCGCCTTTCGAGCCTTTAATATTATTTTAAAAAAATCAACCAAATCAAATGAACTTTTGTTCAAGAACGCCATTTATTGCCAATGATTGAACCATAAGGAAATGAAAGAAAAATTACTTAAATAGGAAAACTTACTCTACTCTTAAGAATTGCACTCGAAGAACAGGGAACCATCATCATAACAACAAATTTTATTCTCTGAAGCTTAACTTTGGCTAGCAAAATAACGTTGAAATAGAGACCCAAACACGAGATTCGGTTTTATTTTATTTTAAAGGAATAATATTTCAATTAATTTAAAACATCAACCCAAAAAGAAAATACTTTTATTTGCTAGATGTATGACCATCGATTCCTATTCTCTTAAAACAAGTAACATGGATCTATATGCCATTTTATTATCAAAACTGCTCTACATGAAAATAGAAACCTTTTCAAAACCAATAGAGCTGAGGACCTAATTTAAGCTCAACTACGGGCTGAGACAAAGATATAAAATACATTCTTATAACTACACCACATATTTCATTTGTCATGTGCAACGACCCGACCGGTCATTTCATGAGTTGCCGCTCCGTTTTCCCCATTCCTGTTTTTTTATGTGTTGTTCATCTACATTTCATTGTATCGCGTTGGTTGGTTTGAGTTTGGGATAGTTTTGGAGTGTTATGAGACACTTAATCTCTTAAGTTGGCCATTTAGTTGAATAAGTCAACCGGAAGTTGATTTGTGAGTAAACAATCTCGGAATATGCTTTTTATGATTCAGATAGCTTCGTGATGGGATTTGGGACTTATGAGCGTGTTCGGAATATAATTTGGAGGTCCGTGGTAGATTTAGACTTGAATTGACGAAATTAAAATTTTGGCGCTTTTCGGTTGGTAGTGAAAATTTTGATATCGGGGTCGGAATGAAATTCCGAAAATTGGAGTAGGTCCGTTGTGTTATTTGGGACGTATGTGCAAAATTTCAAGTCATTCGGACGAGGTTTGATAGACCTTTTGATCGAATTCAGATTTGGAAGTTTTGGAATCCTTAGGCTTGAATCCGAGGTGGATTTGATGTTTTGATATTGTTTTGAGCGTTTCGAAGGTTGGAACAAGTTTGAATGATGTTATCGGATATGTTGGCACTTTTAGTTGAGGTCCCGGGGGCTTCTGGATGATTTCAGATGGTTATTGGGAAGTTTGGGAGTTGGAGTTTGCAGCTGAAGCTGCTGAATTCCTGTCATAACCACACCTGCAGATTGGGAACCGCAGGTGCGAGCCCGCAGAAGCGTGGAAAGGACCGCAAATGCGGCCAAGGCGGTGAAAGGAAGGAGCCGCAGATGCGGGAAGCTGAGCGCACCTGTGATAGCGCAGGTGCGGGTGTTTGAGCACAAATGCGATTTTGGGGGCGGATAAGTGACTTCCGCAGGTGTGCACCTGGGACCGCAAGTGCGGGTGCACAGGTGCGAGTAATAAGGCCGCATGTGCGGTATCGTTGGGCAGAACATATAAATAGGCCCCTTTCGCGAAATTTGCTAAGTTTTGCCATTTTTGAAGACTGGAAGAGAGCTAGGGCAGTGATTGTTTCAAGGAAATTGAAGGGTTTCAGTTGGGTAAGCTTCTTAAGCCTTATTATTTGTGTCTATGGCCATTTTTCCATTATTTAATCATGGTATTAGTGGAAAATTAGGGAAGAAAATTGGGGATTAGGGCTTGAAAGTGGAGACTTTGATTTAGGGATTTGAGGGGTCATTTATGGTCAGATTTTGGTGTATTTAGTATGTACGAACTCGTGAGAGTATAAGGATTCTAGTTTTGTGAATTTTATCGGAATTCGAGACGTGGGCTGGGGGTCGGGTTTGGTCAATTTCGGGATTTATGAGTTAAATTGATAATTTTCGTAAGAGTTTCACTCCTTTAGCGTATATTGATAGTTGTATACTAATTTTGGTTAGATTCGGGGCATTTGAAGGCCGAATCGAGAGGCAAGGGCATCGCGGGCTAGAGTCTGGCTTGGCTTGAGGTAAGTAACGCTTCCAAACTTGGTTGTGAGGGTTCGAAACCCCGAACTATGTGTTCTATGATTACTATTGGGGTGACGCAAAGGCCAAGGGACGGGCGTGTGGGCATGCACCGTGTGAATTGCGGCCTGAGTCATTCCATGGCACCGCTTAGTGACTCTTTCATGCTGATATCTGTGTTGTAATTATGTAAATAAGTTATTGAACTACAAATCATGCTAATTATCATATTAAGGCTTCATGCCAATACTGTTGAGACCCGAGAGGTCGTTTTTTGCTGTCATGTCATTAGCTTCATTACTATTCTGTACTCAGTCCTGTTCATGCATATTACATCATGCCTCAATCTCGACTATTGCTATTTGATATATCATATCATGTTCGGGCTAGTATCATGACACTTTTGAGCCCGTGTGTGTGAGGCTGGAGAGTAATGACTGAGTGAGGTCGAGAGCCTGATATTGAGTGACAGTATGGGATCGGGATGCACGCTGCAACGCGATATTGAACATGCCTCCATTGTCTTGTTATAGTGCATGGGCTAAGAGAAGCCCCTCCGGAGTCTTTACACCCCTAGTGAGCGCATTTGATAATATTGAGCGATAGATCTTCTCTGGACATGAATCTTGTCCGAAGTATTGAAACGTGGAAATGGATCTTCTCCAAGAGGCTGGATTGGCCTGATTCCTCGGTACCGGGTGACTTATGGTCAGTGATGTATACATTCTAGGATGGATCTTTCCTGGGCCGGATGGCCATATACAATACCGAGTGGTGGAGCACTTGTGAGTGGACATACACGTAACATTGATCATGCTATCTATGTATTGTACTTAGAGGTTCCGGAGCTTTATACTCTGTACTGTTCGTGTTGTATTTAGTTACTGCTGAGAATTTACTTGAATTGCAAGCATGTCTACTTTCTGTACAATTAAATGTTACTACCTGTTGAGGTTTGGTTCGTCACTACCATCAATCCTTAGTTTGGACTTGTTACTTACTGAGTTGGTGTACTCATGTTAACCCCGGCACCCCTGTGTGGAGATCCAGGTATCTCGGGGCACGGTAGCGGTTGCTGATCGTACCAGTTGGAGACTTTCTGTGGAGATTGCGAGGTAGCTGCCTGGCAACCACAGTTCTGCATCCTCCTTCCTTATCTTCCTTGTAGTACTTTTGTTGGATTTTCTTTCTCAGACTATGTAGTCTTGGTTATTTCAAACAGTTTTAGTATTTTGCTTATGACTTAGTGACACCCGAGATCGGGCTTGTATTTCTTTTCGCTGAATTTATTTTCTACTTTTATCTTATTGAATTTTTGTTAAAAATATGATTTTTCTTAAGTTTTTAACTGAAAAATGGAGTATTTAGAGACAAGTTGGCTGGCCTAGTTTCACGATAGGCGCCATCATGACCGGGTCAGTTTTTGGGTCGTGACATCATATAACCACAAAGAAAACCTAATTGATACATGCAATATTTACTCAATGTTTAAAACCAAGGAAAGAAAAGGCAAGTTAACATGCTATTTTGTCATGGAAATACTTTATACATTTAACTGGAATTTATGATATTAAAAACTGAGACATAACAACTTAAACATTAACTGAAATTTATGATATTAAAACTGAGACATAGCAACTTAAACATTTGAATCTATATCAGTACATTGCTGTTTCATTGGTGATTCTTCACAAAAAAAAACAAAAACAAAAATAAAGGTGACACCGAGTCACAATAACAAAGCAACTATTTATTGTATATGCTTATACACTAAACCTTACAATTAATAAAATGCTTTTAAAAGCTTAGAATAAACTGAAGAGAACTCAAATTGCTTTGTATCCATTCATTCTTAACTCAAAATTATAGTAGCACTTTAAGCGAATTACCTGGATAGCAGGAAGAAAATGTCAGCAAGGGAGGAACTAAATTTTAGCAACACAGTAACACAACAACAACAAAATCAACAACTTATGACCCAAGAAACAACTCAGAAAAATATAGCAAGAAAGTATTTGAAACCAATAGCTATTCCCCCATCTAGGATTCCTCTATTTTCTTACAAGTTTTAAGACTCTAAAAAAACAGTCACAAAGTTCAGAATTTTCAGCTTACTATTCCATATGTTCAGCTGATCTTTTGACCTCAAAATGATGTTCTTTTATTGTATAAAAGATGTCCATTTCAAGTGTGTTCAAGCAACTTTAAAGATGTTATCAAAGTGTGTAGATAGTGTGGAGAAGGACTCTTGGGACAGATTTATTTGGCCAAATATTTATCCAAAATAATAGATTTTTGACCAAAAATCTGTCCAAACCAGAATTTTTGTCTAATGAATAGTTTTCCTCACCAAATCTGAACAGTCTTTTGGAGTATTATACTCCAAAGTAGTCCTCAATAGTAAAAGCAACCAAACAAAGGTCCTACACTCAAGTACCCCCTTACTACCCTTCCCCTTTATCTTCAATTCATTCATTCAACAGAAATGGACTACAAACCAGACTTGGATTGGCCAAATATGGTATTAAAAGGGCAGAACTTTACCAAAAAATCAAACTCAAACAATTAAGCTAAGCCAAACAAAAGCATACAACATATATATTAAGAACACTTTAACTTGATGTTAAATTTGATCATGAAACATTGCATCTCAAACAAAACGATCCTAATTGAGTGAATGATCAACTACAAAAAGAAAACCTAGCAATTGGGGAATCTAACGAGTGACTAACTATCTTAGTTAAATGTTTAACTATATCAACAGACTATGTTAAACATGAATTTACCATAGTGAACAATAATCACATGAGAAACTAACTTTAAACCTTCAATTTAACTAAACTGACTAGTGATTTTGTTGCAAAATGCTGAAACTTGAGTTAATTAGCACGACGAATTAAACGTGAAATAGTAGAAACTGCAATTGAAGCTAAAATTTACAAACTTGAATCTAAAACTAAATTCAAACGCCACTATCAAGACTTATGAGATAGGAATCCGAACAACACAATAATTTGAAATCAACGAGCGACGACTAATCATTACTGACTCTCAACTTACTAACAACTAACTAAAGATAAATAAAACATATGAACGAACAAAGAAGAATCATTAGAAATTTAGACCTAAGAAAACTATAATGAAACAGAAAGAAAAAAAGAAAGAAAAGGGACATAAGAGATTAGGGTGCACCAGAAACTCGAGTGTTCGAGACAGTGGTGGTGCGGCAGTGGTGGCGATTCAGGCAGTTATGGATGAAGTTTTGACGTCGGCGTTCTCTTCTTGTTGCTGGCCCGTCACTATCAACTCCAATCAAACCGAAGTCCAATAACGAACTCAGCAACAAAAAAGGCTTGCTCGAGCCAAAGTAGAAGTAACCGGCAACCTGCCGGAATTTAGCCACCAGAGTTTCGACTTCAAACCAAGAAAGAACAGTAGATTAGGGGAAGAACTACACACTCATATAGGTATTAAGTAGTGATGAGGTCTCAAACTTGACGAATTTGAGGAAAAATAGGCGGCTAGGGTTTCCATTTTTTGAAGATTCATGGAGATTAAGATGGAGTTTGAAGATTTGGGGTTCAGTAAAGGATGAAGAGACGAGGAAAGGGTGAACGTTTGGTGGTGTTTGGAGCATCACCGACGGCGGCGCATGGTGATGGTAGTGGAGGAGGAGGAAACTTAAAAGAGGGGTTAGAAAGAGAGGAGAGATGGCAAGTGAGAGGAGGGAAATAGATAATAGGGCAAAATGAGGGCAAATTTTGGCTTCTTTAGGTGTTAAATACTAAGAATGAAGATCAAATTCGGTACATTGGATCTAGGGTCTATGGATGGATGCGATTTAATCTCTGTCACTTAACCAAAACGATGTAGTTTTGATCCAAAACTACGTCGTTTGGACCCGCCCCTGGCATCCCTGTGTGGACCGGGTTTGTGAGCTATTTGGGCTTCTAATATTGGGCCAATTTGGCTCAATTACAATTAAAATACACTATCCCAATCCCTTAACCCCCAATTATCTTATTTAGTCCTAAAGAAAACATACAAGTAGAAAGAAAATCTTTTTGGTATTTATAATTTAATGATGCAAAATAAAATATACAAATAAAAGGTAAAAATATTTTTGGTATTTTTAATAAAGGAATGCAAATAAAAGTGCACAAATAACCAAAAATCATCCAACTATTAGTATTTGTAGGAGAATTAGAAGTGAGCAAAAATTAGGTATTCACAGCTGCCCCTCTTTGCTCGAGAACATGAAGGGTTTTCGTGCAAAAAAAGTGAATTTCATGAATAATTTTTTCTCACACATCACTACAATGAAAGCATTTTTTTGTGAAAAGGATGACCGAACCTTGCTTTCGAGGTTACCTACATATCCTTGGCTATAAAGGAATCAGGTCAGTGTTGTTCTGAAAATATTTGATAGCTGGGACTACTGAACACTGGAGTTAAGACTGTTGTTGTTGTTGTTGTTGTTGTTGTTACTATTGCTTGCTGCTTACATCAAAACAAGAAGAGAACTACATATGCCTGCAAGCTAAGAGTTACAAAATTCCTATCTATGTATCTTCTGAAGTCAAATATTGATTCTTTACATGCTCGCTTGTGTTGACCTTAGATTAAATCTTGATGCTCTTTGAAGAAAAGATTATGGCTCATTCTCGATTGCTTGATTTTTCGATCAGAATTTAAGGAAGGTGAAACTTGAGAAGCTAGGTTGCTGACACATTATCAAAGCTAACTCCAACTATCTTGTGATCGAAAGACTTTTTTCTTTTGATGAGAAACTAAAACCGTAAGCTTTAACCGTCACCTGTGCTCTACGGTGGGGCCTGCAAAGCCATCAAAGATGAACAAAATGAACAAAATTTTTCTACCCCAGTTTGGACTAGAATTATTTTTTATGAGTTATCAGAGAAAGCTATAAACTATCTAATATATTTGAAAGGCTGATAGAAACAGTAGTATAAACTAGCTAAAAAAAAGATAAAATTTGTAACGAGGGATTGTGTAACCTACATTACCAAGAGGATATATAAGCAGGGGTGGGTACCCTGTATTACTGAAAGGGAAAGTAATCAGGGGTTGGCACCCTGCATCACTAGGAATGAATGTAACCTGGGGTTGGTATCCTGTATTGCTGGAAAGGAATGTAACTAAGGGTTGGCTCCCTTTATCACTAGGAAGAAATGTAATTAGGGGTTAGTACCCTATATTACTAAAGGGAAATGTACCAAGGGGTTGGCGCCCTGTATTACTAGAAGGGAACGTAACCAGGGGTTGGTACCCTGTATTATTGGAAGGGAATGTAACCAGGAGTTGGTACCTTGTATTACTGGAAAGAAACGTAACTAGGGGTTGGTACCTTGTATTACTAGAAAGGAATGTAAGCAGGGGTTGGCACCATGTATCGCTAGGAAGAAATGTGACCAGGGGTTAGTTCACTGTATTACTAAATGGGAATGTATCCAGGGGTTGACGTCCTATATTATTGGAAGGGAACGTAACTAGGGGTTGGTACCCTGTATTACTAGAAGGGAATGTAACCAGGGGTTGGTACCTTGTATTACTGGAAAGGAATGTAACTAGGGGTTGGCGCCCTGTACCACTAGGAAGAAATGTAACCATGCGTTGATACCCTGTATTACTGGAAAGGAACGTAACCAGGGGTTGGAACCCTGTATTACTGAGATAAATTGTAACCAAGGGTTGGTACCCTATATTACTGAGGAGCAATGTAACCATGGGTTGGTACAATGTATTACTGAAAAGGAATGTAACCAGGTTGGCGACCTATAACACTAGGAAGAAATGTAACCAAGGGTTAGTACCCTATATTACTAAAGGGGAATGTAACAAGGGGTTGGCGCCTTGTATTACTGGAAGGGAACGTAACCAGGGGTTGGTACCCTGTATTAAAGGAAGGGAATACAACCAGGGGTTGGTACCTTATATTATTAGAAGGAATGTAACCAGGGGTTGGCGCCCAGTATTGCTAGGAAGAAATGTAACCAGGGGTTAGTACCCTGTATTACTTAAGGGGAATGTAAACGTAACCAGGAGTTGGTACCCTGTATTACTGGAAGAGCACGTAACAAGGGGTTGGTACTTTTTATTACTAGAAGGGAATGTAACCAGGGGCTAGTGCCCTATATTATAGAAAGGAGTGTAAGCAGGGGTTGGCGCCCTGTATCACTAGGAAGAAATGTAACCAGCGGTTGACACCCCGTATTACTGGAAAGGAACGTAACCAGGGGTTGGCACCATATATTACTGAGAAAAAATGTAACCAGGGTTTGGTACCCTGTATTACTGAGGAGCAATGTAATAAGGGGTTGGTACCATGTATTACTAAGGAAAGATGTAACCAGGGGTTGGTACCGTGTATTACTCAGGTTGGTACCGTGTATTGCTGAATCCCTCTAAGCGAAAAGGTTATACCTGAAATAAGCTACATAAAATATCCTGAGCAAAGAGTACTTCTACCTGGAACAATGGGCTGGATCCCCGTAGGCAAAACGATTCTACCTGAGTTAAGCTAGGTAAAACAACCTGAGGGAAGAGTACATCTACCTAGAAATATGAGCTAGATCCCTCTAGGCAAAACGGTTCTACCTGAGTTAAGCTACATAAAACAACCTAAGTGACGAGTACTTCTACCCAGAATTATGAGCTAGATTTCCCTAGGCAAAATGGTTCTACCTGAGTTAAGCTATGTAAAACAACCTAAGCAAAGAGTACTTCTACCCGAAACTATGAGTTGGATCCCCCTAGTAAAGACGCTTCTACTTGCGTTAAGCTACATAAAACAACCTGAGCGAAGAGTAATTCTACCCGAAACTATGAGCCGGAACCCCCTAGGAAAAACAATTCTACCTGTATTATGCTACGTAAAACAACCTTAGCAAAGAGTACTTCTACCCGGAACTATGAGCTGGATCCCCCTAGGATAAATGTTCTACCTGAGTTAAGCTACGTAAAACAACCTGAGCGAAGAGTACTTCTACCCGGAACTATAAGCTGGATCCACCTAGGCGAAACGGTTATACCTGAGTTAAGCTATGTAAAACAACTTGAGCGAATAGTACTTCTACCTAGAACTATGAGCTGGATACCCCTGGGAAAAATGGTTCTACCTGATTTAAGCTACGTAAAATAACCTGAGCAAAGAGTACTTCTACCTGGAACTATGAGCTAGATCCCTCTAGGTGAAAAGGTTCTACCTGAGTTAAGCTACGTAAAACACCCTGAGCGAAGAGTACTTCTACCTGGAAATATGAGCTGGATCCCCCTAGGCAAAATGGTTCTACCTGAGTTAAGCAACGTAAAACAACCTGAGCGAACAATACTTCTACCTGGAAGTATGAGCTGGGTCCCCTAGGCGAAAAGGTTCTACCTGAGTTAAGTTACGAAAATGGGGTTGTCACACCTCCTTTTTCACACCCCCGGAAAGGATGTATAAGGGAGATTTTCCAATTTAAGTGACAATCGAAACAGGATTATTTAATTTAAAATTCAGAGTCACCACTTGGGATAATTTTAGGGTGTCCCAAGTCACCGGTTCAAATCTCGACTCGAGGAAAAGATTGACTCTGTATTACAGTTCGCGAACACAGAAATTCGGGTAAGGAATTCTGTTAACCGGGGAGAAGGTGTTAGGCATTCCCGGATTCCGTGGTTCTAGCACAGTCGCTCAACTGTCATAATTGGCCTACTATCTGATTTTAGAACATGTTTTAACCTATGGTGCAATTTTAAACTTTTGAGCCGCTTTTATTGAATTATTTTTTAAGGAAAATTTAAACGTTATTAAAACACGTCTTGAACCACGTCACATAAATGCACCCGCGGTCCTTGACATATTTTATCTAACATTGTTGAGATTTGGATTTGGGTCACATAAATGCACACCCGAGTTTAGGAAGGTTATTTTTAAAATAGTGCGCCTAAAACAACTACACATTTTCAACTTCTCGAGGGCCATAAAAATTCACTAATGGCACACCTCGAATTCTAAAGGATGAAGGTTAATTAAGCGAGGGCCACCGGTTATCTCATTTTATTTGTGGCACACCTAGAGTCCAATTAAAAGGAAAGTGGCTAGTTAATAAAGAACGTAAGGGGGTTCCTACTTATGTTATGCCAAAGCTTAGGCTAACAATTTAATGCAAACTACCCCTATTCGATTGCAGAAAGGCCGAGCAGGGCCCCAAAAACCCACGTCTGGTGGCCCATTACTGCCAACTCAGCATGTGAAATAACTGGGCTCAAAGTGAAGCCCAGCTTAGCAGCCTGATTACGGAAGGGGAGGGCAATTGCAATTGGGCCAAAGATGACAGCCCAAAACACGATTCGACAAATACACTTGAAGCGAATTGTATCATTTAAGAAAATGTGGACTTGAGTAAATATTGGTAATCTTTAATTCAAATGCAAAGCAGATTCTAAGGCTAACATAGAGTTTAAAGTGAAGATACAATCCCTAGTTGCGATAACACACCCATACACAAATTATTCACCAACTAACAGAACCCAAAGGCCCCTAGCTCATATTGAATTCTGATTCACCTCTCACCTTTGAACAAGCATGGATTTCAAATCACCTCTAAAGCAAACAAGATACAAAAGAGCTGAAACTGAATAATGAAAATTATTAATTCTGAAATCAAACTCCAGAAATCCTTTGACAGTTTTTTCAGGTTCACATGACAGGGACACAAACAAAGGAAGGTTGAACT